TTATTAATAAAATAACAAACTTTATTTAGACAACTCGATAATGATAGAATTCCATAACTAAATGACTAATATTAATACCTGCACATAATGTCATAATGTATATCAATAATGTTATTGGTAATGCAGACAATATCACATGTGGATTATGAAGTATTTCAATGCCTAAAAAAAATTATATAAATTATAAAATACAATATCAGTATCATTTGAGGTAAAATATATGTCTCATACAAAAGTTTCACTTACTAGTATATCCCAAAAAGGTAATGTAAATATAGTAACCAACGGCTATTAACCAAATTGTGTTCCCAAAAAATCGTGATGAAAATGTGTCGTAATTTATAAGTCCTACAGACAAATAAGAATTTATGTAATTAAATTAAAAAAAATTACTAATTATAAATTAATACAATGTTAATGAATAATTTACAAATGCTTATACCAAAGTATACAATGAAGAGAAGAAAAAATCTTACCATTGTATAAAAATAGTTGTACAATGTGAAGTATTACTAAAGGTGGAAAAAATGCATTTAAATGAACATCAAATGCATAACCCCATTCTACATCCTGAGCTTTATCGATTCTCAAATAACGATTTGTTATAAACCTGTAAATCATTATATTATATTATATATTACATATATAATAACATTTTAATATTATAATCAATTTTACCAAAATGTTGTAGCTACTATTAAACCAGCTAAAAGATAATCGACGAATATCATATAAAATAGTAGCTTTATAAATTGAAGAAATCCTAATCCCAAAACTATCGTAAAACCAATAGAAGATATACACAGACAACACATTAGTAGTACCAAAAAGGCAGGATCATCTCTTGCGAATTGTGACTTTGTTTCTAAAAACAAAATGAAATATTAATCTCAATGTTATTCACATTAATACCATTACAAAAATTACAATCAGAATAACATACGTTTTCTACTTTGAAAATTTCTATATACTTTCTGCGGTGATACAAACAAAAAAATCATTTGCCACAAAGCAAACTCAAAATCCATTTGTTCAAATTTTAATAATTTCCTCAAGTACTTGTAACATTTTGTTGCAGCTCCCATACAATCTTGCCTGTAATATATATATATGTTTTTTTGAAAGGACTATACAAATTTTATGAATAAACATTTAAGGTAATACCTGTAAGTTACTGGCATTGGCAAATTTGAGCCCATTTCGCTTGGACCAGGTGAATTACATCTACTTACTGGTGGTGATGTGGAGTATTTCATTTTAGGACCTGTTTAAAAACAACAACTTAACAAATAAGAAACGAGTTTCTTTCTACACTTCAAACATTATTTAAGAAGAAAGGAATTACAGTAACAAACAGAAATTTTGCTACAGTATATACGTATGTTTAAAAGTTTTTAATTATAATGTTTATATACCAATTTTTTTCTCTCACGATTATTAATAACATTTATTGATTTTCTTCGTTAATTATAACAGATTAGTTTTGATACTGTCAAATAGAAGTATCATTTACTATTGTTGGTTATGTTTATGTACTTATTGATTATCGGACCATGAAAATTACAATTTACAATAACGTTTCTCGACCTTTATTTGGATAAAAGTAATAAATAATTATTTATAATGACAACATCGATAGAAGAGTGTATAAAGCATCATTCAGAGCTTTAGAAATGGAAATCACTGAAATCGCGATGGCCATTGGCTCCATTCCATTGAATCGAGTTCAACCATACGTATGCATTATATTCTATTCCAACACTAATGATCGCACATTTATTTTATCATGAATTATATTGTAAAAAATATTACATAAGATTAAAATTTAATAACAAAATGAATATTTTTTCTTAAAATTCAATTTAAAATGATAGAAACTTATATTTAATTTTTTAATTTTATTAATAAATTTGAAGTATTCTAAATCAATCTGATGTTCTTAAAATACAGATGTCTTGTTCAATTAATATCTGTTATTTATGTATGTTTTGAATCTTATTAGTCATTATACAATAACAACGTTTATTCGTCCTGAACTTCACGTTACAAGCAACATTGTTTTCCATATTTCATTGTCTTCTTTATTTACAATCAGTACATAGATTCACAAGGAAAATGTGAATAAAGTAAACATACAGTATAATATAATATATAAAATATAAAAGGAAAATATAAATTTCCTTTATTTCATTTACTATCTCTATGTGTTAATCTTACGTGTCTAATAAAAACGACATTATTATTATTCTTATTATGTATTTAACTTTTTATTCGTATTTTATTTCATTGTAATTAAATGTCAATTATAAAGTGAAGTAAATAATAAAAATAAATTAATCAGAAATAATCTAAACACTCTGTATTCCAGTATATTTCCCAATTCTATTTTTTAAATTAGAACGATACTAAAATAGTAAAATCCGGTATTATATCTCGCATAATTATGAAATTTTTCAATTTACCGGTTCACTAAATCATTAGTAATCGGATCAATTGATTCAAATTAATAAAAACTCTATCGTTCGCTTATATCTATTCAAAATATAATACACTTGTTTATTTATTTATGTATTTATTTATTCATTCATTCATCGTGTATTTATATTATGTACAAAGTAGTTTCTAACCACATAATGGACGCAACAAACGAACCTGTTATGTACAAATATATGATTACAGATTACATCGAAAATGTTCACACAGGAGACATAAAAGTATGTGTGTAGTTGTATTACGACTTATATACTGTACCACAAATTAATATGTATAGCTAATACAT